TGATATCCAACAACCCGAGAACGCAATTGGACTGCTGAAATGGCAGAAGAGAAGATTGAAACCATGGCAGTGAAGAAAATGTCATCGCCCTACGATTTGAGTGCTAGTGATAATCCCGGAAACGTGATTACACAAGTACAATTAAAAGGAGAAAACTATGAGGAATGGGCCAGGGCGGTGAAGATCTCTTTGCCAAGAGGATTACAACAGGCTGAGGCCTTTGAGCTACAGGGGGGCAGATGTCTTTGTCTTGGCTTTTTCTTTAGTTAGTCGCGCAAGCTATGAGAATGTGTGGAAGAAGGTATGCTTCAGTGCTTGTGTCTCTGAATTAGTACTTTAATATCTTGCAGATTTCTCTTTTGTTCTCTAATTTGTATGCACTGTCCAGTGGATCCCTGAACTCCAGCATTTTGCCCCTGGCATTCCATTGGTATTAGTTGGAACCAAATTGGGTAAGTCATCAATCACTTGTGTCAATGCTTGTCTCAGCCTAATGCTAATTTGTCTTCCAATTAGCATCACCCCAATATGAGGAAATCAGTGACTACAGGACTAGAACTCATCTATTCCCTTTTGATGCCAGAACCATGGCAACTAACCCATATTCTTAGATTAGAAGCTTAAGATTTTATTTTGTCATGTTGAAACACATAATCATTTTGCATAGACTTATTGATCTCTTCAACAACACAATTCATCAAAAATATTCTCAAGTTTTGTGCCAAACTATACATTTTTGAACATAACAAACTCCTTTTTCACAAAACTTACAAAGGCTGGCATTCGTGTTGAATTTGCATGTATGCATACCTCCAAACTTGTCTGTGCATGTCTATTATAGTGTAGGCACATTTTAATTTAAATTTAGTTCATCACATGTTGGTTATCCAGTAAGGAAGTTATATTCAAATATAAATGATTGCTTGACCAAAAAAATTATACTACAACAATGCCATGTCATACCATTGATACCATCTACTTCCATTAGAGTAAAGAAGAACTCTTGTGCTTTAAGCTTTAAAGGCATTCACTTAGTGTAGCTTGAATATTCTTATCCCTTTTATTAATTGATCAATATTAGATAACTTGTTACTTTGGAGAATTTAGTTTTTGAAGACAGTCCACTGATAATTGAAGGGTTCTGGTATTTTTTATTCCAGAACATCCTAAAATAAATCTTATGTAGCAGCATAGCTTCTATATTTCAGATAATATTTCTCTTGCATCTATGAAATACCAAATTAGTATGGTGGTAAAATAATGATCATCAACCTATTAGATTTAAAAATGAAAAAGAAAACACTTTGGACATCTACATGTATGGTGGTAGTCTGGCATTGTTACTGATCTCTGCATTAACTACCGTGTTTATAATGAGAGTGCAGATCTGCGAGAAGACAAGCACTATATGGCTGATCATCCTGGCTTGGTGCCTGTGACTACTGAGCAAGTACAGATTTTCCTTCATTAAATGATTATAGAGTTGAATGTGTAGTGAGTTTTAAAACTTTTGGCCTTTTATTCATAACTAGGGTGAGGAACTCCGTAAACAGATTGGAGCTACCTATTATATTGAGTGCAGCTCAAAAACTCAGCAGGTATGATCATACTACCATTGTATTCTTGCAATTCTTGAATGTCACAAGCTGTATATGAAAAAAAAAAACGCACATTGTCATGTAAAGAAAGCTAACTTTACTCCTCACTTATTATCGTACTGAGGAATGCAATTCAAAACGAAATAAAATATGGTAGGTGTGTGGAAGATGTCCAATAACTTGAATCAATGATGCAAAAGCTCTGACCAAAATTGGTCATTTCCCTATGTTGCTTAGGGAATTTTAGTTATAGAGATATTATCCAAAAGATCCTACTTCATCAAACGGATGCATATGTAGAATGTGTAAAATTATCCAAAAAAATTGTTTATATAGGATGTGAAAAATTGTAAAATAAAGTTATGTTGTAGTTGGTTTGCTCGTATGATGTACGTGTTGTCAAAGAATCTATTGGTATGTCTCTCCATTTCGGTATGCAGGATATTTTTCATGATTTTTGCATATAAATACTTTAATTTTTCTTAAATATTCTGCCTGAAATGGATTATTTCCCAATGCCATTGCAGAATGTGAAGGCAGTTTTTGATGCTGCTATCAGAATGGTCATCAAGCCTCCACAAAAGCAAAATGAGAAGAGGAAGAAAAAACCACGTGGCTGTTTCCTGTTAGTACACTTTTTACATATTATGTCTATTATATATTTTGTGTGGGGGGAGCCTAACACTTTATACTTTGACACCACACTACTTCCATGTCAAGAATTTTATATTTTTATTGACATCCCATTGACGGTTCCTTCTGGCTACTCTCCTTAATTTAGTTGTCAAATAGTTTATTAGTTGGTTGTACTTACCCAAAAATTTATTGTGAGAATCAACAACTAATAAAATATTTATGAACTAGTTAGGGTAGGCTACCTATACTTAAGGAAAACAATAATGAATAACGTTGCAACTCCCATTAAACCACCTTAGTTTATGAAAAGCGATGTACTCATGTTTAGTGCAGTTATAGTGTCTGTTGTCTGGCTGTCATAAAATTATGCCCACATGTTAGAACTGTATGCAATATGGCGCTTTGTTTTCACTTTTCAGTGTTTTGTTATAGTATATCCTGTCTGGCTGCGATAAATAAATGTTCCCATGAAAAAATTGTATACAAGATGGCTTTAACTACAGATCGTGATTAGTTTACAATTTAATTTTTGTTCTTGGATTTAATTGATCTCGGTGAAAATGCAGAAACATCCTCTGTGGAAGGAATATTGTTCGTCATAAATGAAACACTAGGTGTCTACATCAGTATTTCATCCAAAAGTTTCACGCGCTATGTGGGGGAGTTTGTTTACCGTTTCGTAGAAATTTTAAACTTGACGTAAAATCACTTGGCTGGAGTTTGCAGTATAGCTACTTACAATTGGATGTTTTCAGTTAAATTTCTGTCTTAGAAACTTTACACTCGATAGCCTGTAAAGAAAAGACAGCGTGAGTTTGTTTGCTACTACCATTTATTTTGTTTGGAAATGAAAGAGTTTCAATGTACATACAGCATACATGAGGTGGAGTCGTTATCTGATATTCATGGCTCTCGTGCAAAATTAGCCAATGTTTGATTCAGATGTAGTATTAATGGCTTTTCAACTGGCATTTATTTTTTTCACTTGAGATAAATCTTTATACAAAATATTTGTTACATCGATAAAGAGCATCGTATTTCGGATAGTTTGCCAATATCAATTGCTTATTTTGCATTCGCCGATTTGAGGTTTTATAGTAGTCGATTCTCAAATGATATTGCAGCCGAGTCATTACTCATAAGCACCTTGACCCAAGTTCTCTCCCGCCTTCATATTTTAAGAGAAAAATCGAGCCTCCAACACAACTGGGCGATGTTCATGCGTCATAATCGGTGAACAAAGATTACATGACCTAACATTAAGAAATTTCTTTCATAAGCTGCAGAATTTAAATCGAAATCATTTACTCGCACAACAAAAATATAAGTCGATTAAAAGTATTGTATTAACTCGATTACACTGCATCTCAAATTAGAACTATTTCGATAGCACTAGGCTGATCTTTATTTATTCTTCATCGAGCAAAATGCGCGGAAATCACAACTTGTCAATCTCATTCTGTTTCCCCTATTTCCACTTGAACATCCTCAACGAAAATGGCACCGTATATATTACACATTACAGGAAAAACTTATATACAGACTAGAGTGAGGCTTGAAAATTTTTGTAAGACAAAAACTAGACAGTTTCAGAATAATGACAATGTATCACAACATTATCTTTTTAAATTTCGTTTCCTAATTACTCATTGTCTCTCAAGATTCGTCGCTATATTTTATGTTTCTATAAATAAAAATTGGTTTTCTAATATTAATATATTAAACACAATTCAATGTTCTATTGTCTTATATCCGTCCCTCAATACTAACCCCAATAATCATCGGCTGGCAAACCAATCAGAATTTCTACAAAATAGCTATAGAAACAATTTGCAGGCACTGAAATCAAGGACCGGAAATTTTTTTCTGGTTTCTACAGCTTATTAACATCTAGAAGAAAAATAAAGTCACAAGCTTCGAAAAGTATAGCCTATCGTCTGGAGAGGCTCCTATTCCAGCCCGTAATTTATCACCAAAGTCATCGTACCAAACAAGAAGTGACTACAAAAACAAAATTCCAGTAACTATGAATACACTAATCAAGGTTAACAATACCACCCCGTTGCAAATATCAAGTATCAAAAAGTCCAGGAGACATGATCCGAAGAGTTAAATGATTGAATGTGAAAGAAACTGGGATACAGCATTATATCAACCACAACAAAGGAAGAAATTCAAATGTCAAATTTCGTTGGTCACCCAGCTAGCATATATATTTGTATGTGTGTATGTGCAATTAAAAAAAAGATTTTAATTTAGAATCTCAACAAAAAAGGGGATTTCTACTTGAGCAGTTCCACAACCCAACTTGCATTACTAGAAGGACTAAGGGAGAGTTTTGATCCACTAGATATAGATGCAACAAGTATGGGTTCTTATCTACAAAGGAAAAATTGATGATCCGGAACCAACCTAGAAAGATTCCTTTAAAATACATTTGATAAACTACAGGATTGGGGGTCGTAGTCTACTAACATAATCAAACGCTAACTTACCACCCAATGCTCCCAAAAGCATAAATTAGATGAAGATCTCTGCAAGTTGACCATTGTCCATCCTCAAATCACTGAAGACAAGACATTTAGTACACAAACAATTACTTTAAGCAGCATAACATTTAATTGGGAATTACCAAAAAAGGAAACAAAAAAAGAAAATTTGTGGAAAAAAAAAAACTATCAAGAAAAATGAAATTTAGAAGATGCACAATAGGCTACAAAAGAGCAGAACTTAATGAAAATGGGACAAAGACTGCCCACAGAAATTGCAATAGCAATAGCATTTATTCCTTTATCATTTAAATATATTTCTTAACGAAAAAAGTAACCCCTCCACTGAATAACATCAGCATGATGCAGGATAAATTTTCAGATATCCTCTCCCACAAGTGACCAAGTGTTACAAACATTTGAATATACAAAACTACACACTTACAAGCATTTGTGGTCATCAGATTGTATGATTACAGATTGCTATTGCCATGAGGATTGGTTGTAGCCATCCCACCCACCATCAGGCTCCTTTCTCTTGCGAACACTACCAGACAGCTGGATCCTTGCATGCTCCTCAGCTAGGGCCTGGGAACTAGCAACAGAAAGTTGCCTGGATTGAAGAGATGAAGTCTCATCTCTGCCCTCTATGTCTGAACCTCCGGGTCCAGCATTAAGATCTAAACCCTGCCTTGCCCATTTTCTACTGGTCTCAGCACTACCACTATTGCTACCTTCTGAAAGCCCAACAACAAAATGCCTGGGGTAATGAGGTGAAACTGTGCCAGCAGGACCCATTAACTGAGAATTTACTGCAGGGAAGCAAAGCCGGTTGCCTGATGTAGGATATACATAAGTAGTTGATCCAGCAGAAAAAGATGCTGATGGAAGAGGAAAGCTGGAATTAAAAGGGAAGACGGGATATTCAAATGGAGCAGATGCATATGACACCGCAGGAGATGATGACAATACTGGGCCCCTATAAATATCAGGTCCAAATGGGTTGCCACCAGCAGCAGGAGTCAACAACCTGTGTGGCCCATTTGGGGCAACAATTGAAAAGGGCTGGTCCCCTCTATCAGGCATAATTGAAGATATTGTGACAGCAGAATAAGTGTTTCCACTGGAAGGAAGCCAGGAAGAGAAGTTGCTTGGCTCAGTAGTACTCGCCCGAAGTCCAGAAACAGGTGGTTGAGATGGCACACTGCTCCTGGCATGCTGAGAGAATAATGGGGATTCGGTGGTGATTTCATCGACTGAAGGTCCATTGTTCAAATCAAAGTCCCTGTGGACATTCCCCTCTCTATTTGGTGGACCACCTAATGATGACTTCACCTGCATAATTGGCACATCAATTTTGTGATTACTGCTTGTGGAGCAGTGACCAATGTCAGAAGCTTCGTCCACTTGGTTCAAGTCGAGATCGAGCCCTCCAGAGCAGCGAACAGGTGAAGCCATTTTACTGCATACAGGATCATGACCATTGGCTGCAAGAGACACAGAATCTGTGTGACGAGCACAAGCTTGAGAAGAAATATCATCCAGAATTCTTTCATCAGCAACATTCAAGTCAATATCCAATGGTGCTCGGCTCTGCTTTCCAGCTGCAGCATCAGGTACACAGGTAGTTAGTGTACCAAGAGGCATTTCCATAACTTTCCTGGGCTCAGCTGGCCGGAATGCACTAGTGGCAGCTGATCCCTTCCAACCAATTTCCCCTTTACTTCTCAATAAATCTTCAGGAGGCACAAAGGGCCCCTTTGCAGCAGCAGCCACAGCAACTGGAGCGGGAATACCACAAGACATAGATAAAGCAGGAAATGGCACTGGACTGATCAATCGGCCAGCAGGCCCAGATCCAGATGTGGGAATGCTGTTGAACTCACCACATTTTACATCATCTGCATTGAGTCTTTCATTTAGATCAAATCCAACCTTTGCATCTGCATCTGACACAGGTCCAGCAGACACGGAAGAAGCATCTGCAGTGGTAGAGGTGCACTCCTCAGCCTCTTGATCTTCCATGGCAGTCAATTTTGAACCTTTAGGATCAATATGCTTATCCATTTCTTGTGATGGGCCACTAGGGGAGTCTTTGGGGAGTACCTCTCTGTCATGTTGGTCATGAACCTCTTTAGCTTCTAAATTCTCCTCCACGTGTTCAGCAGCAACAGCAGTCACGGTAGAACATAAGCCTCTATTCTCAGGCATTGTCAAGGCATCACTTTCACACTCATTTCTTTGCTTTTTAGACTGACTAGCACGATTCTCAGCATCAACATCATCAGCTTTATCAGATTTCTGTTCAGTGAAGTCTTCAGGAACCTTATCAACACTAGGACCAGAAGAATGGAGTACATTCTCATCTATTCCTCTTGCCGAATCAGACTTCATAAGAACACTAGGAAGCTTTTTAGCTGTGGGTCCACCACCACGAGATCCTTCAGCAGTACAGTTATCACTCTGTACTTCCACTTCAATGGAGATATGTGACAATTTTTCCGTTACTTCTGCCTCAACTCCCACACCACAGCCGACCTTAACATCAATAACTTCACCAGCCTTCACAACCTGATCAACATCCTCCCGAAGCTGCTTGCTTCTGTCACCATCTCTAGCTTCTTGAACATTATTTCCAGGAAGGTCACCCAATGAACTAGGAACATGTTTTTCATTTAATTTTCCATTGCTTTCTAAAACAGTTTCAGTGACCTGTTGCAAATCCATAGCACATGCATCAACACATTTATTTAGCTCTCTTGAAGCTTTCCCTTCGGATGCTCGAAAATCAGAATCGTTTTCATCATTTGCCCCTAAATCACCTGTTACAGAACCCTGTTTTTTATTTTCACCTTCAAGACCATTATTTGAGTGGCATTCATCCCGGACAAGATTTTCTTCAGAGGACTTAACAACACCATTGCCTGTGCATGACTGTTCAACAGCAGTAACATTTCTTTCTGGAGATCCAGCTGGAGTTAACAATTCAGATTTCAGTATCTCTCCAGTAGCCACACTAGCAAGAAGATTCATTCCCACATCATCCGCTTCAGAGTACTTAACACCTTCAATTAAAGCATTTATTGAGCTATAAGAAGCATCCTGCAAATTTCCAGCTTTATTTTCATTTCCAGATGATGAGGAAGCAGCTTTTGATACCTCCAATGTTTTTTTACAATCATCACCAGTCCGGCAGCGCTCTTTATCAGTAACTGCAGCAGGTGATCCATCCCCCTCATCAGAGCCAGTCAATACATCTTTGAAATCATTACTCTGCCAAGATTCAGTATTAATTTCTGAGCCAATATTGGCTCGATAAAAGTCATTTTTTTCCTTTGAACCGTGATCAAACTGATCATGCTTCTCTGGAAGGACAGGAGATGAGGCTCGACTATTCATGATTGTAGGATCATCAAAAGAACCAGCACTGGCACTTCGTGCAGGACTCTTGCCTTGGTTTGGAATTTTAACAATCAGCTTGGCAGTATTCCCCTCAAGAGAAGTTCCATCAAGTGCTTTTTCCATTAATCCAGGTTGAGATATTTTGTCTGAAGTTAAATTTTTGTGCAAGGTGGAATTCCTACTTGATCCACTTTCCCTTGCACGTCCAGATGGAGTTGAACCTGAAAATCCATTAATAGATTTTCGATGCCGTGAAGAACCTCCAGATATCTTATTTGCACTCATTGCAGTAGAGCTTCTGGCATCCTCCTTCCCTGAAAGACCTCCAGTTTTAGCATGGTCACTAGAACAAGATTGACTATTGTTGTGTGATTGACTAGAACTAGTGCTTTTTTCTTCCCTTGCATTTGCCATGGGAAGTTCAGAACCTCCACTGACAGCAGCAATACGGGGCTGTCCATCTTTTAAGTTTGCAGTCGCAGATGCAGGGGATGGCACTGATTTAGCAGGCCCTGGAAAGGCAGATGTCAATGCAGATCTAGTAGTATTCTCTCCTTGGACAATCTTCACAGAGGCAGTTTTGGATGCGGAAAGCTGTGTAACTGAACTCTTCATGGCAACATCAGATGAAGCACCTGAGTGTCTATTCCCACCTTGACCAACATCAGAAGGACGTGATTTGGAAGGCCAGTGGACAGTGGCACCAGAACCAGACTTTGCATCCTTTATATTCATTTCAGCTTCAACACGTTTCTTCCATGTGTCAACTAAACCTCTTGCTTTCTTCTGAATTTCAGTGTTTTTATGAGTTCGCAAATGATTTACAGATTTTCCGATGTTGCATGTCTGCAAAGCCTGAAGATTTACTGGGAGCTTATCAAGTGCCCGAAGCAATACCAAGAGAAACTCCTCTACAGATTTGTCACCATCCCGGGACCCAATACCATCACCAATCTTCCCTTTATGGACCTCTTGGAGCCACTCATCAAATACAGGCAAACCCCTCAGCTGCACAAACTGACTAAGACAATCTAATTTATCCGTAGCTGCAATGACAGCTGCAAGCAATGACCGGCTCGCTAAATCTATCTTCTTCTCATTTCTATCAGGAACCATCAGCTGCACTAATTTTTCAACTCCTTCACCATCAACAAGCCCTCCCTTTTCTGTAATTTTGGCAATCTCAGTCTTCAAATTGTTATCATGCCTACCATTAGCAGAATCACCATCCTCAGTTTTTATTGATCGCTCCCGCTTGACAGGCTCAGAGCCTTGATCTGCCCTTTCCCTTTTCCTCCCCTTAATATGAGATGCAAAGGAAGAAGCACTGTTCTGAACACTATCTGAAGCAGATTTGAACTGTGATGTTGATGTTGGACTACTCATTGGTTTAGGAGATCTACCACCTGACTGCACTGTTGCATGCATTTCTACACAAGTCCTGTATAATAGTTGATCTACTTCTTCTTGACAATCCTGGGATGACGGAGACAAAATAAGTTGGGAAAAAACCGAGCACTATAAAAAAAATCATTACAGACAGCAAAGTATGACAGAGGAAACTTACATTAATATAATCCTTATCATTTAACCACCATAAACACTTGTTCGCAATGTCATAAACCCTCCTGCACACAAACGATGAAACACCTGATGGAAGTTCAGCACCCTTAGGAAGAAATGCAACTTTACAAGGATGGAGAAGCGATTCAGCATAAATCTCATCCTTATGGAAGGTGTAGAAAATTTCGTTAGGAGCTGCCTCCAACGGCACGCCCTTGCTGAGTTTCACTTCAATGGATCGATAAAGCCAAGTAACACCCAATTTCAGTTTGTTCTCTTTGCCAATTGTCAGACAACGAATTATACCAATAAACGGAGGACGATCTTCAGATGGTTTGAAGAGAGCACAATCACCAACAATAATTTTCCGACCGTCCTATGATTTGAAAACAAAAACAAAATCCTTAGTGAACCATTAAAGTTCAATCAACAGAAATACCTCAGTGCCCTAGAGTAATTCATGTCAACGGCACTGGGAAAGAAGCATATCCTCCGACAAATAACACAAATCCTAATAATTAAATTAAATGCATTGTCGTTCCCAATTCAGCAGTTTCCATAATAATCCCCGCTCAAGACACACGCTTCCACTGTTACACACAACACACTATTCAAAACCTACAATTCATTCTCAAATAAGGTGTCAGACATAGAAAGCCCTCTTTCTTACAAGGAACCCTAAATTAAGAAGAAAAAAAATGAAAAGCTTAAAATAGAATCGTAACGCAACCCGAACAATACCTTACAGAAGGACTTCAGTGTGGACGAGGAGGAAGAAGAAGAAGAAGAAACATCGGCGTTCAGAGACGAGTCGCCACGAGAGGGGGCTTTCCACATGCGCCGAGTCCCCTTCCTCTTCTCACCTCCACCCCCATGCATAGCCTTGCATTTTCCCGAACGAGTACCATCAAATCCCCTTCCTAATTCGACCCGCGAAGCCCTCAGAATCGGCGAAACCCTAGATCCGCGCGAAACCCTAGCCCCATCGGAAGCACGCTTGGGCGACAGCACAGGGAGGCGATTCGATGTCGTAATTGGAACTGGGAGAATCGGATCGGCGCGAAGAGGAATGCGAAGGAAGGAACGAAGGAATTGGGAGGCGGCGTCGGGAGAGGGAAAGTGCGAGAATGTAGAGAGAGAAGGGAAACGGAGGAGAGAGAAAGCGTGTGGGTGAAAAGAGGGAGTAGTGGGTACTTACTAGGGGTCGGGCAGGACGGGCAGTGCGGGCAGGGAGAATGATAATGTCACAGGAAGGTGAGGGGACGTGTGGAGAATGTGACTGGAGATTGGTGCCTTGGGAAGTGAGTCACCAGCATTGACCGGTCCATCTTCTTCTTGGGTGCTTCTTATTTGACTTTCACTTTCTCTCTCTCTCTCTCTCTCATCCCTCACGCTGACAAATGCCAGTTTCTTTGTTTCTTTCTTTCTTTCCTTTCTTTTTCCCAGTTTTAGCTCTCTTTTTTTATTTATTTGTTTAAGCTTCAGAAATCGATGAGTTGGTTACGTGTATTTTTAATCATTTGCTTATATCAATCGCTGCCAACTTCTTCCAATTTTATTTTACATTTTATACACCACCAAGTATAATTCTATTCCATTAAGTCACCTCCTATAATTCTATAATTCTATTTTATTAAGTGCTAATATTGTTTTTATTTGAGCAAATTTCTTGGTGAGAGAATATTTTTGCTCTATAACAAAAGGAAAAAAGATTATATGTTTTTTTAGATGTATCTTATACATTATTAATAATATATATATATATATAATAAAGGAGTAAATTTTGAAATTAAAAATCTCTAAAGAAATGAGTATAAGAAAAGAAAAAAGTTATTACTACGAAGTTTATGATCTTCTATTTTTCTCGAGTTTCTTAATTTTTAAAGCAGATGATGTAATGAAAATTTGTTGATTTTCTTTTTTAGTTGGTTGTTTGATCTTTGTGTTGTCTTAACCAATTAGTATTAATTATGTTGAATTTGTTGGTGGTGGTGAAGGAGGGGTTTAAGGTTTTTGAACCAATCCAATAGATTGGTGATCTCTTATTAGAATTTTGATGCATGTCGAAATTAATGGCAGTTTTGAGTTGCATGTAATGGAAGGAAAGACTTTAATGGTTCGCATGTATTAAAGATTGATAGATGATGGTTGAATGTGAAGAGAGAATGAGATTTTTATGGAGGAATTTTGCATTTTTTCTCAACGAGATAGAATTCTCACTTAGCATTCACGTATATAAGATGAACATCAACCCAAATCATATTCTCACCCAACAACGAAATCGTCGCTCAATAAGAAAGCAATTTTGTGGGTGGTTCTTTTAGGTATGCCTGCTTAGCAAGAAGACTTACAAAGAGTCTAGCTCACTCAACAAGTCATAGTCATCTAGTAAGAGGACTCATAAAGAGTCTAACTTGCTTAGCGAGTTATGGTCGTCTGACAGGAGGAGTCACTGAGGATTAAGGTCAATCAACAAGTTTGAGTCACTCAGCGAAGAGCCACAAAGGCCTTAGGGGCTCAAGACTATTCTCACTTAGCAAGGGACTCCATAAAAGTTTGAGCGTCCAATGAGACCTTTATTTTTAGAAGTTTGAGTTATGTTATTTCTTATCACTTGATTGGTGTATTTTGAAATGAAATAAATGTATGATGTTGAGTTAATGATTCTTTATGAAATGTGTTGACTTATAAGAAAGTTTTATTTTTATGGTTCTCTTATATTCAAGATGATGATGATGATGTGTATATGTATATGTATGACCTTTAGTTGAGATATGATGTGTTGCATAAGATAAGTGTTGTTTTAGTGGAATATGCATGATGCATGTTTTCTGTGTTGTGAATTTGAACTTAGAATCATAAAAGAGAAAGTTGTTTCCTATGAGGAAAGATCTCATTATGAGAATTTGTGTTTTAGTGCTCTAATAGCCCAAAGATGAAAATCCTTTAAAAAGGAAGTTGACTCTTGAAGTAGGGAGTTGTTATTGTGAAGTAGATATAGATTGTTGTTGCTTATATTATATATACCATTTTTTGTTACACAAGATTACCTTATTTTTCCATGTATTAGATTATGGTGATCATATTTGATATGGAAACATATTAGGATTAAGTGGAGGGCAAGCTTGCAGAGGATGTTGTTTTGGAGTGAAGTTGTTAGGATACAATTTGTTTTTAGAGTGCTTGACTAACATCTAAACTTTTATGTTTCCAATACATAAGGAAGGAACCAGGAAAAATTGGTAGGGAGCAAATTTTTTTTAAATAATGTGTAAAATTAATGATGGTTATTATTTACATTTAATGCTTATTTAAATTTTAATCTAAGGAAAATGAAAATATTATATATCACATAAAAGTAAATGTATCTACTTTTGATAAAAGAAAAGTACTAATAAAATAACATTTCATATCGAACAACAAGATCATTTGAAATTCTATCATAATTTTTTCTTGTGGTGAATTATTTGAAGCTTATAGCATATGAGTAGGCTAAGATAAAACAATAATGACTTCTTTCTTCTTAAAAAACGAAGAAAGAGTTTTTTGAGTTGTTCTACTTTGACAAGTTAATTGTAAATTTTTTAAAACATACAAACAAAAAAATATCTAGTAAATGAAAACTCAGAACTTTTTTATTGAGACTAAGGATTAAAATAAATTATTTTTAACCAAATCAAAAAATAAATGAGAGATTAAAAAAAAGGTCAAACTAAAATATTTTATGCTTGTAAAAGGATTTTCTTATTTAAAGATCTTTTTTTTAACGACAAAATAAGAATGTCATAAAAGAAAGGGATAGAAGGTACAATGAGTACCTAATCTTTACAAAAGGTCACAAACCCACCCATACATCCAAACATGATATATCTATTGATGGTGTGAGAGGAAGTTGATCTAAGTGTGTTTGACATTCAAATTGTAATTTAGAATAACTTTGTACAATATTGTTTTATCTTTTGTTTGTGTGTAAAATTCAATTAATATTTTTTTAATTCAATTAATGATTTTGAAGTTAAATATATATAAATCCACAAATTGAGAGGTATTAAAATATAATATAGTATAACTCATAATATATTTAGATCTTCTTGAAAAAATTGATGGGAGTAACAAGTTTGTTGGAAAATTAAAAATAACACTATATCAAGTAATGTAATGGGTAGGTACAACAAGAAAGGATCTAGTGATAGACTTGATTATGTGGAGGGAAATAATTGTTAAACATTTTTCTTGTGCATATATGGGTTGGAATAAAAAGTAAAATAAAGAAAATTTTAAATAAAAAATTAAAATTAGATGTAATAATCGGTGGATAATAGGTTGTTTCATTTAGTAAAAATCAACAATGGAGTGGGCAAAATATTAGGGAGCAGATTAGGTTTTTTACTACATATCTACGTGTTATAAATTAAAAAAAATTACATATGTTAATTATTATTTGGGGAGAAGGGGGTGACTGCTCTTATTAAGATATATGTAGTTTTGTCACTGTCAGTACATATATTTTTGTTGATGTATATATTTATATGTACAAGGATGAATGTTAGGGGGATTTATGTTTTCAATTGATATTAGCATAAATGCTTTGTGTTTTCAACATCGTATACATTTTTTTTATTGCATGAATATTTAAGAACTATTTGCATGGTAATCCTAGGTTAATTGATGTGTATGTTTTTTGTTACTTAGTAACTAAGTTGTATCAAGTGTTGTAACCTATCAGACCATTACAGTTGGTGGGTAATTTGTATATATACGAGTCTTGAGGTTTGCCCTACCATAATGAGCCCTTAAGACCCAACTCGCCTAAACCTCATATAGCAAAAAACACAACAGAAGTATATTGTTTTAATGACATTTTTTTAGTACCATGTTTTCATGTATAATGTATTTTATTTTGTGTACATTTTTTTTACATTTAATTTGAGTTGCATTAATTATCAACAAGTTGTTGGTCTAAGTGGTATTAGATTTAGTTTCCTTAATCAAAGTCTCACAATTCAAGTCTTGTGTATGGAAAAAATGTAGTTGGGAGGAAAGAATCTAGAAATGAAATTTCATAAGTTCAGTTTCCAAAAGAATCTAGAGAGAAGTTAAAAAGAGAAACTTTAGGACTAGGGAGACTGTTTTTTCTTTTTGATCCTTATAGGAGTTTTCATATCCTTCCCTAAAGTGAAAATCAAGCATAGAAGTTGATCAAGAGTCCATAGAGCACATATTTGAGGAGATAAGTTAACCCTATATAGTTTTGAGTTTCATCCCTTTTCTTTTGATTTTAGCTTCTAAAAATTAATTAGGGTAATAGAAGCTTGTTTGATATTAATAGCCAATTTGATGACTTAATGTTGAGTTTTTAAAGATTTGTTTGAGTTGAGATTTTTTTGTTTTAGGTCCTACCTAGGGGGGAGTCATTTGTGTTGATTTGGTGGTTGCATGGATGGTCAGAGATAAAATTCAACTGCTTAATGTGATTGTTAATGATTTAGATTTGAGTTTAAAACTTGTAGATGAGTTTGGGATGATTAGGGGAGGTTTAGAGCCTAAAAAATCTAGAAACACAACTAGGTTTTGTTGTAAATTTGCTCAATCAAATAGAAATTTGCTTAAGCGATTTTAAGGCAATAAATCTAGTGAAAATTGACTCAAGTAAATTTAGTGGAGAGATTCTCTAGTAAAAATTCGCTTAAGAAAATTGAAGATGATTGAATTAGACTTTTTTATCGACATACAGGTTGTAGCCCTAGATGATAACTAACCAATGACTTTGGAATCATTGAAAAAAGATGTTAAGAGCTAAAGATACAATCAAATTAATGAGTTATGGTCAAGTTGTCAAAGTTAGAAAATTATAATACATTTTTTTTTGTAATTTTTTGCACAGTAGATGATTAAATACGGTTTTGAGGTAAACACAAAACTTGTAAAAAAAATCTTCTTAACTTTCATATGAGATAAAAAATTAGCTTGATAGGTTAGTATATCTATATAATTCATGTGTAGATTCACTAAGTGACCAATAGGTGTGT